AGAATTCAATGCCATTTAAGACTTTATAAGGACCCGCGGGAACCCTGGCTTTGGCGGGGAACTGCTGTGCGTCCCTAGAAATTCCAGACCGACGGTGCAGAAACATACCAGCAAAACTGGTTCGCAACCAGACCCAGGCGAGATTTGATGTGTGCGCTTGCAGAAGTATAACCCGCCCTTTCGGCACCTCTACTGGACAAAATGATCTTACTTCCTGTTTCCATTAAAGCAAAAAGGCAAAAAGAAGGATGCAAATAAGTACCTGGGCCTCCTCCTCCTCTGTGAAATCATTTTTGATGTTGAAAGTTTTCCTGATCTCTTCTGGGGTTTTGCCTTTAATCATGTTGGCCACTGTCTTGCAGGTGACATCTAAGAGGCCTTTGATGTCCAAGTAGTTGGCGGCCTTTTAAACAAAAAAAAAAAAGAAGAAAAAGGGGAGAAAAAGAGAGGATTAATTAACAAGGGATAGCTCAGCAGCAATGGAAATAAGAATGAAAATGAATATCATTTTGAAAAAGTCCAGAGTAGCCACCCCCCTTTTCACATTCAAAGTACCACCACACAGGTCTGAGGTCTGATTTAAGCAGTGTTGTAGGATCGGTATTAAACTTTTGCATATAACAAAAAATGGCAACAAATCTGATGTTTGAACTGATCCTATTAGCAAATGCCCTCCAGGCAGGATATAACTCAACTCTACAGTAGCCTGAAACCAATTAGCCGGTAAAAACTGAGGGTTGGGGGTCATCACCTTTAGGCAGCGTCAAACATTTGTTGAAAAAGAGCAAACTGGACAAGCAACTGCAGAAGAACTACATCATCTCAATCCTTCCCTTCATCAGTACGATTATTAGAAAAAGCTGAATTTCAGATTTAAACACCTCCCTAAAAATGTGTAGCTACTTCCAGTCAGGCTATCTTGTTCACCACAATACGGAGACTGCCCTGATGGAGGTGTTTAATGACATCCGTATAAATTCTGAAAGAACCACAGGGCTGGTATTATTGGACCTCAGTGCAGCGTTTGATACTGTTAATCACTTCATTTTATTAGAGAATCTGGAAAACTGGGTTGGCCTCACTTAACTGGTTTAAATCCCACTTAGAGGGCACAACTTTTCTTTGGGCCAGTAGGTAACTAACATTAGAGACCACAAATATCACATGTGGGATTCCCCAAGGGTCCATCTTAGGGGCCCTGATTCAAAATCTACAAGTCCCCCCTTAATTCAGATTGTAATTATCAACACAAGTTCCCATAACTATGCAGATGACGCACAGCCATGCATTACAATTAGGGCTGCAGCTAACGATTGTATTGCAAATCGATTAATCTGTTGATAATTTTTTGGATTAATAATCAGATAGCCCAAAGTTCCTTACAGAAAGTTTTTTTAAGAATCAATTAAAGTGAAACTAAAACTTTTCCACTTGAGGAGTACTGGATAGAGCACATTGACAGAAAAAAATTGTCTTTTCATGTCTAACATGCAGAATGCTTTTTTTTTTTTTTTAACAATCTGATATAGTAGTAGCTCTAAGTGGGTTGCTCTTTCATTTAAGGCACAATTTAGAGTCTCTATACTCCAGTTAACGATTAATCAATTACTAAATTAGTTGACGATTATTTCAATAATCGATTAATCCGATTAATTGTTTGAGACCTAATTACAATGTCACCTGATGACTACGAATCCATCAAGTGCAAAACAAATGCACAGAAGATATCAATGCACAGATGTAACATTTTCTTAAGCCGAATCAAACAACAGAAGAGCATTGAAAGGTTAGCAGACACATGTGCTCATATACAAGTCTTAGCGCACTGAAACTTGTATATTACCACAGGTCATACAATGAGAATCCAGCACCTGACCAGGTTTTAAAACGATCATTTAGATGAATTCCTAATTAACCTGTAAAAACACGTTATATATATATATATATATATATATATATATATATATATATAATAATCAAGTCAGGGATAAGAGCTTAATTTTTTTTTATCAACACAGCAACATCTGAAAACATTTCAACCTTCCTTGAGTGTTATTGTAAACAAGTGGAAGGGTGAGGGGATCAAAAAGCTCAAGTGTCTCTTTGGGAAACCTCAGCGATGAACCAATACCCATTTCCCAATGTCTCTGTTGCCTAGTGCTTAGGTTACATCTTACATGATCTGCCTGCTCACCAAATCAATGTAGGTGCCAGAAGAAAACTTATTAAACTCTAAAACCCACACAGGCCACAGGATCCACACAGGGAGAAACGGTTCACATGAATCCCACACTCCAAATAGGAAACATATCATTTTACAGGCAGATTCAGTAATCCAATAAGGGCATAGCATGCAGTAGTTAAATAGAAGGACTGATTTAGTTTAGATTTACACTGAAAGTGCTTTTTTGTTTACCAGAATGAGTTCAAACAAGGTGCCTTGGTCCACTTTGAGGAACTCCTGGTCCCAGACAGGAATGTCATCCGTCCTCTTCTCCTTGTTTTCGTCGTCCTCAGGAGGAGGGGGATCATCTTTGTGATGGGTACACCACTGAATCACCTGAAGGAAAAACCGAAAAGGCAAATTTTAGGGAACCTAGCCATTTACATGCAGCAGATTTGCTTTTAGAGATGAAAAAAAGAAAATCACTAGTGATGCTGAAAATACAGTCTGAAAACATCTGTCAGAATAAAGACACATTAGCTTTAGTGATCCGCTGTTCTGTTCCAGGTATGACCATCATCGGTACAGTTTACTCCCTTCAGCAGCAAGAATGTTACCCTGGCATATAAAGTTTGAAGAATGTCGACATGACATTAGTAACATAACTGCCAACAATTTCTGGATTCTTAACACCATTTTTGCACACAGATATTGAGATGTGTATATTTTCCAACAGGCTTTTTGCTATCCTCAACACCCTAACAATCCCCGTAACTCAAAGGCTCAAGTTAATCATGAACTTAAAAAGCCCCATGTTTTGGAACCTGGAAGCTATTTTTATCTTCCTTACTTATGAGCAGTGGTCCAACAAGCTGACAATGCAGATAGTTTGGAGACATCACAAGTAGGTTAGACCTACTGTACATCAGAGCAATTGACTTAAAGCTAAACAAGCTAATAAAAAAACAACAACAGCAAAATTACTTCTAAGTTGAGTGATTTTACTGAAACAAAAACGTAGAAACCACAAAGGATCGCCTGGCCCCAATATCTGGCAAATTACACACAGGATTATGCATTTTATTCTGCATGCCAACAGTAAATCTGACCACCTGGATGGAAATTTGCAATGTTTAACATTTTATTTGCTTTAACTTCTGATTTCCGAATCTCCTTTAGTTTTAATGTGTGTTTAGTGTCCGTTAGCTGGTTTGGTTTAGTTTTTATTTTCTGAAAATGCTTCATTTCATTTATAGTTTTAGTCTTTTATGTAATACGGCTTACAGCAAAAAAAAAAAAAAAAACTAAGCACATCTAAAAATTCACTTAGTTTTATTTAAATTTGTAGCTCTTATTACAATTAAAGTTGTTTTTTGGTTTTTGGCAAGGTCATTGGCCATGAGTACCCCTCTCACCCTCTCATCAAAACTATTGAGGATTGTCCGAAAGTGAAACGTACAATAACTGATTATAAAAAACTGTTTAAGTTCATCTTTTATCTTGAGAATTTAATTCTTTGAAGAATAAAATTAAGTTTGTATGGAATCAAGATAAATACTAAATAAAATCCGATTATAAACCTGCATTTATAAAACGGGAGCTCCTCTGGGCAACTTCCTTATGGTCCCATTTAAACTTGATGAACTGGGAACAAAATACAGAGCAAATAATATAATCAGAACGACTTAATTAGTTTACTTGGTTTTCATCAAGTCACCTGAGCTGTGTGGAAAAACAGCTGATACAAGGCTGTTCTCTACATCCAGTCTGTTCATCTGCTTGGTTTTTATTTGTGTCACAACTTATTTTTTGGTTGATAAAAGCTTGTTTAATTTTTCAGTTGGATCCGCAGAAAGCAGAACAGATCGCAGCCCTATTTTATAATTGGGGTACGATTACACCCGGTTGGGAATCACTGTTGTAGATAACGATAACCTTGCTTTGGCATCAATAGTTGATAGAGGTCTTAGATAGAGAACAGATGTGTTAAAAGCTCAAAAGCAGTAAGGAAGATTTCTGATGACAGAAAAACAAAGCCAACTGAGCACTGTGCGTTACAGATATCATAACTGGATCACCCAACGGACATCTTGCCATCAACCCTGAAATCCTAATATCCCACAGCACTAATTTAAGGTGAGCATCGAGGACAGGTTAGTGTATGTTTGCTACCTTCTTAAGGATAGCAGCATTCACATTAGGGAGGGGAACGGGGTCGTCATCTCCTTCATCGTCCATTCCCAAATCTGTAAAAGTTAAACCAGAGTTTAGCTCACATCTCCAAAACATTCAGCATAATCTGATTAGATCTTTCAGCTGTACTCATGAGGAAAAAAACAAAATGAGAAATATATTTTCTGTCAATAACAGAAATGAAAAAAAGATTTGTGGTTATTTAAATGCATCACCTTCTAACATGGTCTTGATGGTGACGGACTGTTTAGCTATCTCAACGTCCACCTCAAAGATTTCCCCATCAGAGCTCTGCAGTTTTATCGTGGGCATTTCCTGAAATAGAATACAAGGTTGAGGAGTTAACATATGTTCAAGTAAAACATTTCCCTTTACACAATTGTACTTGTCAGGTTTAATTTTTACTTAAATACAAAAATATCTAATATGTCTGTTTCAAAATTCTCCATCTAAAAGCTTATGAAGGGCTTTTTTTTTTTACATGATCTACCAATACTTAGGGAGATGATGTTTCAAAGAAATTAAAACTTAAATTCATTAACTCGATGCATTTCAGCTTTTTAACCCCAAAACAAAAATATTATTGTCTCTAATACATTTTCAACTTATTGGACATCAAATGTAAAGCTAATTTTCCACAATATGAGGGAAATTATTTTTGCAGCATTCTAAAATATATATACATATGTTATCAAATCCAATTCCGATAGATGTTATGTTATAAAATGCAAAGAAGTTTATATTTTGTTCTTTCAAGTGACAAAAATAATCACCAAGCAAAAAAAAAAAAACTTCACCTTTTAGCTAAGCAAAGTCTTAAATTTTCATTGCCATCACTCAAGAGCTGAAAGTTTAATTTCAACTAAAAAAGAATTCCAATTTAAATGTTCTGTTTGAAGCAACCACTTTTTTAAGATAAGGTAAATAGAAAGTCATCAATTAACCCCAAAATATGGATACTGATATGCTGTGTTTTATTAACTAACATTCAAGTGGCACCACTTGAATCCTTGTTTTAAAATTAGCTTATTTCACTCCATCACAGTTTTCAATACTTGTTTTTTGTTCATTTTAATGTTCATCCTGACCAATTTAACTATAATAAGGCCATCCCCACAGATTCAGTGGAAAACAAGCGCTAGCTGCTGGCTAGCAAACATCAAGCTAATTTTTAATAAAACTAAAAACAAAACCCGTTGACATCGTCTCATTATCATCTCTATGATAAATTTATTTAACTACTGTTGATAATAATAATAAAGCTGTTAAACTGTATACATAATGTCAGTGTAACTGCGGGGTTATTGTTGTAAACTACATTAGCTCGTTAGCCAACCACTCGTGCTAAGGCACCATAGCGAAACAACGGAAATGCTAAAGCATTAGCATGTTTACGGATTAATGCTTTGGAAGAATAAATCCAACGTTTATCCAACGACAAAATTCCAAACGCATTCCAAACATAACTAATACTTGGATGATGTTCAAACAGTCTGCTACACAGGTAGCTAACGTGTTATTTAGACATTACATTAGCGACTTGTGAGGCCTCTAACCACCAGACCGATGCGTTTTATTTAAAGGAAAACAAGGCGTTTTAATCAAGCATAAACCTGTATAACCACCATTTATACATTCAAAACTACGTACCGTTAATATTCAGAGAGAAACCAGGCTGTGAATGTCTACCGAACTCCGTAGAAAAGGCCTGAAAGGTGTGTTGGTAGCTGCGGCGGCTGAAAGTCTGAGGGTGAACCTGCTGGAAGCGTCCTGCTGGCGGCGTCTGTCAGAGCAGAGGAAGGGGCGGAGCTTATGCAGACCACAATCAACCTTTCTGCTGCACAGCTACCTGCTGAAATGTTTGCATTACTGTCCATTTGTTTCCATATTGTGCGGGAGAGAATGAGGGCCACTGAAAAAATAAAAATGTCAACTGATTTTTAAATAGTATTTCAGTTTAATACGGAAAAAAGTCAGAATTCTGATTTGTATCTCAGAATTCTGACTTTAATCTCAGAATTCTGACTTCAATCTCAGAATTCTGATTGTTGTTTCTTAGAAATCTGACTTTAATAACAGAATTATGACTTTTTTTCCCTCAGAATTCTGCTCCCAGAGTTCTTTTTGTACTAGTTCTTACTAGTACAAATTTAATTCCAGGTTACTTAAAATTTTATTTCTAGTGGTAGTCTAAAAGACAATGACTAGGAATATTGTTATTGTGACTAGGTAGAATGCTTGAGTGCTATCTATAATAGAAATATGACTAGTCAGCCTGCTTATTTTATGTTAAAACAGAGCCTCATTATTCTTTTGCAAGTATCTAAAACTGCATTTTGGATAGACATTATTAAAATTGTGATATCTGGAATTCTAATTTAACTAGTCATAAAATAAGTAGTCAATATCTGTAATGACATTTCTACTAGCAGAAATATATTTTCGATGTCTAGAATTGGATTTCTGAGTAATACTATATTCATTTTTGATATCTAAAATTGTAATTTTGACTAGCAGATAGGAAGAATGTTATTTTAGATATCTGGAAGTAAAAGCCCATCACACATGAATGGATGATCTAACGTCACTTGTACTAGCAAAAATTACATTTAAGATATCTAAAATGTTTATTTTAGATAGGAAGAATGTCATTTCATTTTGACTAGGAAAAAAAATCTATTTCACACATTTGAATTCCATATTCAGTCAAACTGATAAATGTCAATTGGCTCTCCATAACTAATGCTTCTGCTAAGATGCATTGACAAGTTACGGATGATAGCCAACAGTCCGAAGATTCCCATGGAAATAATAGGAGATCAGAAAAACCAACAGTTTTCACATTTAGTGGGACTTGGGTTATTTTAATTTTCAGACAATGCTTCCGACTTTCTCTCCCCCCATGGACCCAAAATACAAGATATTTTATGCAAGTTTTCCACAAAATGAAGTTGCTTTTTTCTGACAGTGGTGTAGATATTTTTTCACCTTCCAGACGAGTTTTTAACTTCTTGTTTCATTACTTTTGGCATATACGTACACACCTCATTGGACGCTGTCGGCAGCAACCTGACGTGCCTAGCATTCATCTTCTCTGTTCGGACCACATTTCAGACAGCTGATGTCAGAATGAATAGGTGCCTTTTAATCAAATGAAAGACGAGTCAGAGATAATATTACAATAATCTCTTACATATCAGAAACCCCTTAAAAGACCATAAAAAAATTTAAAATTACTTCTCAGTTAGATTACACATATTTATTCAGATTAAAAACTATTTAATCTTTAAAAATACTGAATGTTAATATATCGTATTAATATATATTTGAAAAACATTATCTTATATTAACATAAAACTTTCCGTTTATCATATTAATATCTAATTGCAAAATGTATACCTTTACATATATCTCATAAAGTTTGAGTTCAGATTAAATAGTTTTTAATCTGTGTAACAATGAGGTATACAGGAAATCCACTTACACAGACCAATATCTTGTTTTTGACTCACATCATCCACAGGAACACACACTTCCGGTCACCAGAACCTTACAACACTGGGCTTAGCATGTCACAACTAAAACTGAAGGGAAAAAACAGAAACACATCAAAGATGCTCTCCAAGCCTGTGGATACCCAAACTGGGCCTGTGTCAAATCAGCAATCAGGAAATCCAAAAGACACAAAGCAGAACATAACAGCGAGAAGATTAAACGCAAAAAAATCGCCATCCCATATGTTGCTGGAGTCTCTGAAAAACCTAAGAGGATTTTCTCCAAACACAAAATCCCAGAACAAGACCCTTAGACAGAGGCTAGTGCATCCTAAAGACAAAACCCCCAAACTTAAGATGTGCAGTGTATGCAGTTCAATGCTGTAAGGAATGCTCTGATCTTTCTATTGGAGAAACCAGTCAACCTCTCCACAGACACATAACTCAACACAGAAGAGCTACCTCCTTTGGACAAGATTCTGCGGTATATCTACACCTTATGGACAAAGGATATTCATTTGAGGACCAGAATGTTCACATTTTGGACAAAGAAGACAGGTGGTTTGAAAGGGGTGTGAAGGAAGGAATTTATGTTAAGAGAGAAAAACTAACCTTTAAAAGAGGGGGTGGACTCAGGTTCCAGCTCTCCAAAACCTACAACACAGCAGTAGAGTTGATTCCTTTCCACTTTCATCTTAACCCCTATCACTATGCAGGGGACTAAAACATCTCGCCTGGTCAGCCAGTCCAACAACGACCTCAACGACTCCCCGTTACTAATGGGGGCACCTGTTCTTTTGGCTCAATTTGCATGTTTTCTTTGCCATAAAAAGGCTTTGTTGGGCTACTTTATAAAGCTTGGAACTCAACGCTAATCCAGACATTTTGAATTAAAAAAAGCTTCCTGGATGGGAAGCAAAACATCTTCAAACTTGTTTAATTTTTTTGGAATGACTATGACCTGGATGACTGAGAATCTTCACCAGCATGCCAGTTTTTCCTGCTGAGCTACACATTTGATAATGACATTCTTTTAAAACTCTCTGAAGACCACCAATTTTGCTGAGAGAAGCAACTTGAAAAAAGTCAGCAACTGCTGCTGAGATCAAAGCATTAGATCCATTTGTGCAGGAGACATAATATTTACCTAGAGTTATATTAACCGTGTGGCTCTGGAATTGATTGCAAAAACATCTAAACTGATAAGGTCCAGTGAGTCTAATCAGAGTTCTCAGCTAAACAAAAATTACCACATCATGGTAGAGATGCCAGAATATGAATATAGAACTTGTTCTGCATGTCCACCATCTGAGGTGTCATACCTTAAGAAACCACTGGGTGTCACCAAGTACCTTCTGCAAACCCTTAATTCAAGTCTAAGAATTGCTCATTTTGAACTGAGCTACTGCATTTTTTTCCTATTTCACCCACACACACAAAAAAAAAAAATAAATAAAAAACACTGAAATCAAGAAGTCATCTTTATTATTGTAATTGCTTGGTTAAAATACAGTTTTAAAGTTGAAAGGGAGTAAGTGAGTGGATGTTCAACACTCCATAAACCAAACTGTGTTACTGTACAGGAAGGAATCTTATAACTTAAAGTAGACAATTAACTCCAAAGCTTTTCTAAGTTAGGCCTTTTCCAAAAAACAAAAAAAAAGGTTAAAAAAAAGTCATAAAACATGTATAATGTGAAGCCTTTCGTTTTTAACATATGATACAAATTTCTTAAATTTATCTAAATGTACAAAAGTGCAAACATATTTTCAGATCTTATTAACTTAAGCCATGACCAGTGGGACTCATACAGCTGCATGTTTACCTCAGACTAGATCAGCCCAGCTACATGTTAATAGAATGAGGAATTTTAATTAGTATTTTTTTTTTTTTACATAGTCTGGGAAGAGGGTTTTAAATATAAGTCCTCAGCAATGAACACTGCAGTGATTATGGCACACAACATTTGGTCCATCCTTAGACAAACTCCTTTTAGAAAAAGCTTTATTCGGTCATTGTGTGGAGATACAATGTTCACTGCTGCTCCCTCCCATCCTAGTCTCCCAGTTGTGTGTTCCTCATTCGTGTTGATATTGGTTCAAAGTCATATAATGAAGATACTGGAACTTGATAATACACGAGTCGATAGAAGAGGTCAGGATTTACAGGAAGTAGTCCGGGGTGCGACGAGTTACATGTGGCTCTCCTCTGCGTGGCGCAGGATCGAACTGCAAGCTAAAGGAACAGGAAAGATGATTGTTTATAATTTACACAACACCTGAGCTCATTTGTCTTTTCTTACAGCTTTAACTCAACAGTTATCAAATGATCCAATCTTTATATTTACTTACAAGGAATATTTAAGAGTGTCGTCTAATTCCATGATGGCTGCCTGGTTACCACAGCGGTAGCAGTAGTTGGGAGCACTAAAAATCGTTACCACGTTCCTCTCATGGCACCAGTTGTATCCCTAAGGGAAAGCAGAGGAATTAGTTTTGCATCCTGACAGGTTGAAACTGCAAACAGTGAATTTATTGGGCTTTTATGTCAGCAGGAAACACAAAGCAGTGAGTAGCTGTCAAGTGGAAGGAAATCTCAACTTAAAAGGTGTGTGGGCATTTTATATCAACCTAGGCTTAAAAAAAAAAAAAAAAGAAAAAAAAGATTCAATGAATTTATTCAAATATTTTGTTGTGGGCGATTTTAAATAAAAGAAATACATTTTTCTTTTTTTATAATGGTGCATTTTTGGCTACCAGGAGTTTCAGCAGTATTACTCTCATGTTGCAGTTTGGCAAGCGACAGTGTCTCACGAAACAACAAATAACAACATAACTACAGATGAGTGAGAAGTTTTTTCTCAAAAAAGTAATAAAATCATACATTGTTTGGAACTCCAAAAAAAAAAACATTTTTTTTTTCTTTCAGGAGGGGAAAATAATCTTGAGTAATAAACAACGCAAGTTTCATAGCAACAACAGAGATGACTCTGACTGCTATGATGACGTGTCTTTTAACACTTATCAGAAAAAACATTACTACCCAAACAAAAGCTTAGTAGGAGGCGCTGTAAGCTAGCCGTTAACAGAAGCACAGCTGCCAATAGCGCAGCACCGTAGTAAAAACGCAGGTCTATACGGGATGAACAAACCCGCACTAACTAACAAACCACAGCTAAAAAACCACTAACTGTAGCTGAATCTTTTGCAAACAGCACTGCATATGATAGGAAAGGAGCAGGGTCGCTTTGTGCATAGCCAAAGACATGGTGCCCCATTTATACCTATTGCTTTCTTTAATTCGGGGGGGCTTGGAACGAAATTGTAAATCGTATTAAAACTACAAAAATCTGAGATTTTATTTTTAGCCCTATATCAACTCTACATCAATATACTCTGATCCTGGTTCTATTGTAGCTTTAACTGTATGTTTCTAGAGAGTGAACTCATTCTCCAACACGTTTTCCTCTTGCATTGACCTGTGTCTGGGCAATGCAATAATATAATCTCTGCTTGTGGACATAATGTCAAATAAATAAAAGCAGGATGTAGTAGTACATCCTGTAGTAGGACACATAGATGAAGTAGAAAAAATATCGCGGCAAAACCCAACACACCTCCATGACCAGCTGGTGGGCTCGGGACACCAATGTGAGGCGGTTGGCGTGGTTGAAAGTCTCAGAGATGTCCTGACCGAACGTGTAGCCGGCTCCTCGAGGAGAGATGCCCCAGCCGCCGCGATCATCAGGATCCGACCACAGCAGGTCACACATGGGACCCTGCAAATGGAGATTTCAAAATCAATGATCTACTCTCTGTGTGGCGTTCTTAAACACGAGGAAACAGACGTGATCTTTACCTCATGTGGTACTTCCTGTAAACGATCCAGTGCCCTAATATGATCCAGTGTATCTATAGATGGTGATAGTCCCCCATGAAGACAGAAAATCTGAGAGAAACACAACATTTTGTTACTGCATCTTCTGATCTATGGCTTGCCTTAGCTCTGAGCAAATTCTGCCATCCAGTTGCTTCGTCTCACACATTTGAGGAACACCACAGTTTTTTTTTCTCACCTGAGAGTCTACCAAGGCAGTGAGGGGGAGGTAATCGAACAGGTCAGTGAAGTATTTCCAAACGTTGGCGTTTCCGTATTTCCTCAAGCACTCGTCATAGAAACCATAGACTTGTGTGATCTGTCTGCTCTCATGGTTTCCTCTGAGGATCGTTATGCGCTCCCGGAAACGTACCTGAAACACAGAGAGCAGAAAATAGTTGAAAATTATTAATTTCTTAAAACAATTATAGAAGAAAAAAACTGATTTAGAGTTGATTCAATTACCTTTAGTGCTACAAGCAGAGTGACTGTTTCTACAGAGTAGTACCCTCTGTCTACATAGTCCCCCATGAACAAATAGTTTGTGTCTGGAGATTTCCCTCCGATCTTGAACAGCTCCATAAGGTCGTGGAACTGACCGTGAACGTCGCCGCACACGGTCACCGGGCATCTCACCTCCTGGACATTTGACTCCTTTGTCAGGATCTCCTTTGCCTGCAGAGAGCAAGCAGACGACAAACCAGAGGGGCGGTTAATGGTGTCACAAAACCAACAAACATCTAAAACAATAAAAAAAAAGAAGAGTGGAGAAAGTGTTTCTCAATGTCCGAAACAAATTCACGGCAACTTTTCCAACAGGTTTCCCACAATCGAAATGTCCTGTTAAACTGTGACTGTGACTTAGTATGTGTGAAATGTTCAGAGGCGTAGATTTTACTGTCTCTAACCCTGCAGTATGTGATACGGAGCTAGGAAAGAAACGCAAGCGTGATCTTCCTAAATCCTAAACTAGACTTAAGATATCAAAACTAAAATCTAAGTAACTAAATATTTCTTAAAATAAGTTCATTTTTTCTTGAATTAAGAAGGTAAGTGAGTCACTTTGCCAATGGAATAAGACAATATACACTGAAAATAAGAAAAAGCAATTGCATTGTCTTATTTCAAATGCATAATATCGAATTCTCTTATTTTAAGAGTAAAAATAGTCATTTCTTTGGAGGATCATCCAATTTACCTACTCAAATTAATAGTAAACCCACTTATTTTTAGATAGTTTTTGCACTGTACTTAATTCAGTGCATAGTTATTCATATCAGAAAGGACTTTGTAGTGCAATAATTTCTGCCCAATGATTTATATTCCCTGTTTTATCAGTTTGCATTTTACATGTTAATATAACATTTAGTTTGATGGGCAGCGTCTTATTTTGGCATATGCTCACACTGGACAATTAGACCCATAACAAAAGCCTACGTTGTTGTATTATCTGCATTTTATTCTTCCCACGTTTCAGCTTTAAGGTCTGCTGCTGCAATGCATGACTCAGCATGTGGCCTACAGCTAATGCTTTCAGAGTCCATTAGTTACCGCTGCCTCACTGAGTGCAAGCAGAGAAAATTACACTGAAGAGACACTTTAAATACACAGAACACTGTATCATTTGGTTACATCCACACAGCTGCATGTTAGGGTTGCAAAAAACACTTTCAATTTCCCTACTTCTTGTTTTTCCTAATCTCTAAACAGTATAAACGTTATTGCAAAACACCATATTTGAAATACAGGAATAGCATCCCTCCATTTCAAACGGTGTATACTGGCACAGTGCTAGCAGCACCATCTGCGTGGAACCATTCAAACAACAGGGTGTGAGACAGAGAGGCTGGATGCTGGTGGAGAGCTTTCCCTGGGCTGCAGCCAGCCGATCGGATCGAGACAGGCTTGCCCGGAGTGGCCGGGAGTCAGGACAGCACCGCAGCATCGCACAAACTTGACCTACATTTCACTGCTGCAGATGGGAGCATTTCAGTCTTTGGCTTTGAGAGCAGCAGACCTCCAGAGTCACTAAGCCTGGGAGAATATTCTAGATGTCTGAATCAAAGTGGGACAACGCCAGGCAAAGCTGTTCCTCTATATATAAGGACGATTAAAGGAAAGAAAGAAGTGGGCCATGTGGATCTGTTTTCATTGAACACTGTGTTTCACTTATTGTAAAATGAGAGCTTTGAGTGTCAGAACCTTTAAAGTAAAGAAAGATCTAAAAAAAATAATAATACTAGTAAACCCACAGAGATATATAGTTCTAATTAAGTAACCTATCTTTGCGTGTTTTGATCATCAACAGTCGATCAGAAAACAACAGTTATATAGAAATTTTTTTTTTTTTAAATCACCCAAACAGCACCCATCAACAGTCCCCAACTGGTAACAGAGCTGGGCGATTCGGCCATAAAGTCTTATGATATTTGTTAGGGCTGAAACAATTAATCTGATTCAACGAGATTAATCGATTATTGAAATGATCAACAACTAATTTAGTAATCAATTTATCGTTAACTGGAGTATAGAGACCGTAAAACAGGCCTTTAGCCAACAGAGCAACACACTTAAAGCAGTAATTATACAAAGATTGTACAAAAAAATACACATTTTGCATTTAAGATTGAAGAAGATGTTTTCATCAAAATGCTCTATCCAGAACTCCTCAAGTGGAAAAGTTTTAGTTTCACCTGGTTTGATTCCGTAAAAAGTTTTTAAGGAACCTTTGGTTATCCGATTATTAATCGATTATTCAAAAAAAAAAAAAAAAATAAAAAATCAACAGATTAATCGATTAGCAATATAATCTTTAGTTGGAGCCCTAATATTTTTGTTGTACTATTGTCATAACAATAAAAAAAAACAGTTAATTAGAGCCCCACAATCGCATACAGTAATCTAAAAAAATACACAAATTTGAAATAAACTTCTTTAGGACACCAAATGACACAATTCACCCATTATTTCAGCTTTTTAATCATCACTAACTCTAATTTATTGTTAAGACAATAAATCAATATTGTTATCATGAATAGAAATTTATCATGACAGCCATAAATGATACAATAAATACCCATTCCTATTTTTATGTCTTGAAAATCTTTCATTAGATCTGAGGAATAACTCCCATTAGAGCCGATTATTATCTACGGTTTAGGATCAAAATCCTCACGTTGGGCTCCCTGCCTTCATGGTAGCAAAAACCAGGTGGCGTCCATCTCCAGATTTAATTCAATGATGACATAACCTGTGAATCCAGTAATAGCAAATCATAACAATCAACCACCTAGAGGGGATTACTGCCCGATTACATAAACCTGAACTGAATTAAACCTGAACACTGTGACCTGCTGTTTTTCAGAATCTCCCAGTCTGAGCCCAGAATCATTGTGGTAAGATCACAAAACATATGGTAGGTGTTATTCCACCACAAGTTAAAAAAAGACTCTACAAATCAGCCAGAACCTGAGAGACAAAAAAAAAATAAAAAAAGGAACTGCTTAGTCAAAATCTTGGAACCCAAGTCAGCATCTTCCCATCTGCCGCAATATAATCTTATAGGTGAGTTAAAGACAGCTCAGGGCAAATTAAGGGTGCTAACAAGGCAGAAATTACCCCCACAAAGGCTGATATGATGACCTATGGTCACTCCAACTGTAGATTCAGCATCACAAGGGATGCTTGTGTCAGCAATTGGCGATGCTTTTATTTTTTAACAAAGTACAAAATCCACTCCCCAGTTATAAAGCCAGTGTTAAAATAGACCAAAATAAAACTGGGGTGGGGGGGGGGGTGCTCCACTAATGGACTCATTCTTCTGAGGGAAACAATGAGCACAGGGGCAAACCGGGCTCAGCTGCCTCAGACCGGTTTAAAACATAAACAAGAGGTCATGCAGAAAGAAGCTCGCTGCTCCACAAGGTGGGGCGGCCATCATTACATTACATCACTCTCACACGCTCTAGGTGAGCTCAGGAGTTTATAGTCCTAAAAGAAAGAGACTGGAATTTTCCTTTCCATAGGCTCCGCTTTGCAAAAGTATCTCCTGATGCTTTTACATTCTAAAATATTAGAACAGAAATTTTGTATGCATTTTATAAAATTGCATTCAAGAAAGATGGTTATGAAAATAGGAAGAAAACTGTCTTAGTTTTAACTTTCAACCTTTGTCAGTTAAATAACATGGTGCTCTCATTTTGCACATCTCTGATGTTGCTGCTATTTTCAAATATCCATTCCTGCAAAAATGTCCATAGATTTATATTGGTTGAATATTCTCCAGGTGCACAGTATATGTATTGTTAAAACACTTACCAGTACAGTATTTTATTTGTTTATTTTGTAATTCTTCACTATTATGTTATTTCTGTACATTTTCCTAAGGTCCACATTTGTGTGACCATTTTTTTTCTATAATCTTTTTGCTGCTCTAAACACCAGAATTTCTCTATTCTACGACAATAAGGGGATTTTCTCTTCTATTCTAAAATGATGCACAGTTTTATAACTATGTAACGACTAAAAATCTGAGTGTGGCAGCTTCAGATGTTTCCGGATCTTTCAATCAGCTTTACAAATTTAAAGATCAAATATTTTTTACATTCCTCAAAAAAAACAAAAGACACCCAAGAGTGTCTGCTATTTTCTAACCAGTTTGTTTTTTTTAATGATGGAATCTCTATTAGTGCGAAAAAACTGTTGCTGTTCTTCCTGGGATCCGAATAAACACAAATAAAAACATGTGATAAAGGCTCGTTTACATTCTTGCACAAGTCATATTTGACTCTAAGATTGTATACTTACGCAAAGTTAATCAGACCAAACACACAGGATTTATAAACTGGCTTCACAACAAGTTCAATACAATTAACTTTATTAATCCCTAAAGGAAATTAAATGTTGCAGTAACACTTTTTTAAACAAAACAAAGAATGATGAGATGTAAACAAAACAGCAAAAAAACACAAGTTGCTTAATTCAATAGGGTTAAATCGGACATGGAGGACTCTAAGAGGTCACAAGCAGGATGGAGCATACATTCTGCACTAAATTACATTTTCTATAACTGAGAAGAACACAAATCTAATTTACAGCCAGAAGAGATTTACATTCTTAAAAAAAAAAGAAGAAAAAAAAAAATCACATTAAAAATTATCTTTCTTGAGCTCCTTGTTCTGCAGATAAACTTTTTTTTTTTAAACACACTTGCAAGGCATTTAGGAGAACTGGAATAACTGGAAAAATGGAGACATTAGTTGCTGAGATTTTAAACATTCCTTCCGGCCGGCATCCTAAACAAACCGGGGAAGAAGACTCAGATGGAATGCAGAGGGCACATATTACGCAGCACATCCCATTCCTCCACACCCCCACACATCCCAAAACAGAGGCGGCCTGCTCACTGAGTCACAATGAGCCGCGCTGTCCTCAGTCACACCCTCCCATCCCCTTAGCAACAAAGGCTGCCACGGTGATGCTGATGCAACAGACAATCAATTATATCCTGGGTTATTTTTGAAACAGAGGAGGAAGCTCTGTGGGCGTGTTGAGCTGAAAATATTAACCGTGTGCACAAGAGAAAGGGTGCATTAAAAAAAATCTCTCAGCAGGGGTTCTTTTACAGCTTATTGGATGATATTCCAATAAGCTACATATTTAGAAATAAGGAATCTCCATGTGCTTCTAAGCATGCAGCATTAGGAGGACAAACATGTTTCAAATCAAATGTGAGAAACAGTTGTTTTAAGATGCATGAAAACTTTGATCCTGAGCAGAAAATAAAATATCAGGATTAATGAGCCCCTTGACATTATTGCACTTTTAACCTTTGGTGCACAACAGTCCAAACATGGCAATGATCTGGTTCCTGCGTCCTTTAACGAACCAATGAAAAGCTGCGCAATGAAGGAAAACAGATCTGCTGAGAAAGAATCATCCCTATTTTAAACCTCAATGCAATGTGAATATTTATACAAAGAGGAGTCAGGGGAGGATGCCGTCCATTAGAAACTGGTAGATTTGGGTTCAAATCATGACCTCACCTCCAGAAAATAATGTTCACTTCACAATCATCAGACATACAGTAAGGGGGAGTACTGGCAGGTAAGTATTATGACGATACGCGTCATAATACTTGGGTCCTGACACGATATTGTCATGATATTGCAATAACACTAAATATTGCGATCTTTTTCCTAGCTATCAAAATAAAATGTTAAAAAAGAAAGTGCTGTATATGTTCATCAGAAGGAATTGATCATTTAGTTATTTTGGTTATGTTTGGGGTTTGAATCAGTCCACGTGTTCCACCTTGATTGCCTCAACCACAGCTATGGCGCTGCGCCGCACAGCAAAATGGCTCCATAGCAATATCTGCCAGAGAGGTGGTGCAGAGGTAGCCCATTTCCCCTCATTGTTTTGGGTAATAATATATTTTTTTCAAATCCATACTAGGAATTAAAAGATAAAAACTACATGACATGGACATTTTAGAAAGCCAGTTTGAGTTTCATTAAGAGACTGATCAGTACCAGATCCTGGACCAGATTCCCTTGGAAACCTAAACCTGATTTTTTTTCTGAATAAATGCAGAAAACTAATTTCTTTCTATTCGCTAGATCAATCAACAATCAGTTTTTTAACTGAATACATTTTTAGCTCTTTAAAGATAAATCACAGATAATGCTGACATTTATATTTTATTACTTATCTTCTAATGCAATTGTTGTTTGGCACTCCCAGATTTAGTATAATCTGTGACTGAGCTTCCTGTAAACAACCCACCTTTGCATATTTAAGCCTCAGTAGCATTGATTATATTAGGGCCCTTTAAAACCATCTCTACTTTACTTTATTTTAGCAGGGAATTAGTTCGTTTTCATAATTATAAATATAAATATCAGATGGGCACAGTTTATTATACTTTTTATTTCACTGTCGAAGTGACAGGATTTTCTGCCCTCTGTAGCACTTTGGTCAACTATTGTTTTGTTTTTCTATATAAATAAAGTTAAAGCAACACTAATGTTTAGCCACTAGGGGCGCTAGACTTGCATCTTCCACATTGAGCTCCCCTGAGATAAACTGGCAACTCTGCACCATCACGTGAATTGTCTCCTAGTGTGTTTTGGAATCTGATAGCGACCTCTTTGGACCAGCAGATCTTGAAGTGGTGGAGTTATTCCTAAAGACGAGGCCATGTTCATATCTTTTTATTGGCAAC